TAAGGCTGCTATACGTAACTTACGTGCTACACTTAACGTACTTAAGGCTGCTACACGTAACTTACGTAAGGCTGCTATACGTAACTTACGTGCTACACTTAACGTACTTAAGGCTGCTATACGTAACTTACGTAAGGCTGTTATACGTAGCGTACGTAAAGCTATTACACGTAATTGACTTATGAACCATGGTTCACGGGTGAACTCTTTTTTTAATTATTACTACCGGTATTCTTAGCTAGTTAGCTAAGGTCGATATAAATATATTAATAATAATAAAAAAACTAAAGATATCGATAAAAAAGAATTCAATTAATTATTGCAATCAATTATAAACAAATAAATATAAAAACTTAATGATACAAAAAAAGCAATTTAGTAAATAAAATTAAAGTCGCTAATTATAAAACCTAGCAAGAGCGATACTCTTTGCAATTAAACGCTTGATTCTAGAAGAAGCTTCTTTCCTTTTATCTTGTATTAATCCCGCTTTATTATCTTCTTTTTCTTTTATTCGTTTGCGCTTTAAAGTTGATAATAGATTTGTAATTCGTTCGCTTATAAAAGTATTAAATTTAAAGTCGTTAAACTTATATATAATAATTGACTTACTTTGACTTTGAATAACGATTAAAAGAGTTTTAAGTTTCGAAATACTAAGTTTCAAGGTTTAAACGGCATTTAAGGTTTTATAAGATAGCGAAGCCGAGTCCGGTATTCTATTAGCTTCCTTTTTACTTATTATCTTTTTATTACTTTGCTTAAGGCTTAATATTTTTTTTGCGTTAAAATAATTTTGTTAAGAAATATTATTTAAATCGTTTTAATCGTATAAATTTGCTATCGCTAATATTTAAGTTAGAATTTATATTTAAATAAAAGCGTATATTATATAATATCGTACTTTGTTACACTTTATTTTTGTGGTTTATATAGCGTTTAAAGCTAGTCGATTCGTTCGTACCGTTCGAATTTAAATTTTCTGAATCGTTTTCGTTTTCTATATTATTAAGAACGTTTTAATTTGTATCATCTTGAGTTTGCTTATCGAAAGGTAAATCCGTAGCTACTTTCGATTGATTTACTTTGCTTGGTTTTCTTTGTAAAGAATATAATCGATTTGCTACGACTTTGCTTTGAAAAGCGGAAGAATGCGCTTTGTATAATCTTATATAATAGTTAGTAAATCGATTAGTAAATCGATTAGTAAATCGATTAGTAAATCGATTAGTAAATCGATAAAAAGTAAAAATATCGCAAGTAAATTAACTTACTTTTTGAATGCCCTTCGTAATTTAAAGACTTTCCGTATTGTAGCTGTCGCATTTTAAACGAAACATTTTTATTAATATCTTAAAACTTATTTAAGTTCTTTTTTATTCAATATAGTTAATAAATATTTATAAAATTAATATTATTTAAATTTACGTGATTCTCGCACTTTAGCTTTTAATATTATCAACTTAGCTTCTCGTTGCTTAAAACTTATTATTCGAAAGTCTTGATCGATCGTAAGATTATCGTAAGCAAAGATATATTTAAAACAAGATAAGCTTTGAAATTAACGATTTTGTTATTCTTAAAACTTTTGTACTTTTTATTCGAATTCTTTTTTAAGCTGATCTTTATTTAAATTATTATAATTTATTAAAATCGATTCGAATAAGTGCCGAGCTTTATTTAAGCGAGTATTATATATCTTGAAATATAAAGCAGTTATTTTTTTTACGATTATTAATAGCGATAAATTACCGCGACGATAATCGCAAATATCTTTTATAATATTAAATATCTTTTTTACGCAAATATTAATTAAAAAGATGCATAAAAAATCTTTAGCTATTCGAGCTAGATCAAGGTATCGAGGCTTAAGGTTTCGCTAGGAAGTTAAAATCTTTTGTCCGTCGACCGCTAAACTCAATTAATAAAAATTAATAAAATTAAAGTTTTGAATTAAAATTTTAAACTTACGAGCTGAAAGATAATCATGCACTTCCGACGATTCGTGATCTGTATTTTCGAAAGAAGCTTATAAAGAAGAACTTAACATTAATTTACCGCGGAGTAATAAAGCGGTTATCGGTTGACGATCGATTGCTTTGATATTATTAATACGTTGAGCTATAGATATTAAAGACTTATAATATTCGTTAAAAAGCTTTTCGAATCTCGCTCGATATATTGCAGATTAATTTTTACTTTCGTAAAGTTAAGAAAAATTTAAATCGAAAGTCTTTAGCTTAATAGCAAAATATAAGATTGTCGCGAAAGTAAAAATATCTTTTAGCGGCCTTTGCGTTTTTTTATAATACTTATTTAATTTCTCGATAGCATTGATAACGCTTTCTTTTAATTGCAAGATCTATTTAAAATCATTGCGAATTTGCGATCTTCTTTTGAAATCTTTATATATTTAGACTTTAATCGTGCTTATGCTTTATTTAAACGTTCGAATATTTTATCGAATATTAAAAATCCGTATTGAATAGTAAGACTAAGCTCTTCATTTAAGTGTATAGTTAAAAAGTGAAACGGTCGAAGGATATCGATTAGCTATAAGATTTGCTTTTATTAAGTATTAAATAATTTAAAAATACTTATTTTATCGATCTTTGTATAATGTCTTTGAATAATATCTTTAAGAGTTATAAATCGATTAAGTATATAGAATATAGAATCTTATTTTATAATAATATTTAAAACAAGCTTTAAGCTTTTCGTTAAAAGATGCTTTAAATCGTCGATAAAAGCTTTTATCGTTTTATTAAATCGCGATTTTCGAAGTTAGCTAGCCGTAACACATTTAATAAACTTCCGAACTTAAGTACGTTAATTAATAATTAGTAAATATAATTAGTAAATATTTTTTTTTTAAAAAAAAAACTTATTATCGCAAGTGTATATGCAATCCTTCGTTTATCGCGTCTTCTTACTCTTTTTAGCTCGTTTATATCAAAATCTTTTTCTTAATGCTTTTTTAAGCTTTCGTTTATTAGCGATAATCGCGGTTCGAGCAACGCTTTAAAAGATAATTGCAAAACGTAAGCTATATACGGAACGTATAAAATTTCTTAATTTATAAAAAGCTTTTTCTTAAACGCATTTTCGACGCATTTAAGCAATTTTTTTATTATTATATTATTCGAAGATGCGTTATCCGTTATAATCGCGATTATCTTTTTTATTAAGCTTAATTTAATAAAGCGTTCGTAAATAATTCTTGCTAATTCTTTTCTTATATAATTGAATTCAACGTATATAAATTTAAATATAAGCTGAGTTATATGCTAATCTTTTATAATTGCAATTCCGATTATGCATATAAAAGAATAGCGCTTAATATTAAATTAATAATCTAATGAAATGCTAAGTTTTTAATTAGCTAATAAATTGTTTAATAAATAGCGATCAATTTCTAGAATCTTATCGTCGAAGTCTCGCTTAATAGTTGAAGTATTAAAGAGCTTAAGATATAAGTTTTATAATTCGCAAAAAGATTTTCAATCCGAGTTATTAATTATTCGAAACGAGCTTCGCGTAAATAATATAACATTTAAAACACTTTTTCGAAATGCTAATTTTAAGTCTTAATACGAAAGCGTTTTTCGTAATAAATATATTGATTTAATATTAGTTTTATTATTTATTAATTAAATTTACTAATTAGATTTATTAATTAAATTTATTAATTAAATTTATTAATCAGATTTATTAATTAAATTTACTAATTAAATTTATTAATTAGATTTATTAATTAAATTTACTAATCAGATTTATTAGATTTATTAATCGAATTTATAAATAAAAACAAACGTATTAAATTGCGTTAAAGAGATTTAAATTTTAATTAAATTTGCTAAAGCTTTTGTTTTAGCTTATTTACGACGCGTTTGCAAACGTCCGTTTTCTAATAATCGGCTAATGCTTTCGTTTTAGAAGCCTTTAGCTTCGGTTGCTTTAAAGCTCGATCGCATTTTTTATAATATATTATAAGCTTTTTTATTAATTTCTCAGCTGCTTAAACGAATCCAATTTATATAAAA